TCAAGGACAAGTGCACGGCATCACCCTTCGTGCTTTTATTCTCGTCCTCACCATGAAAATCAGTATAATTGGCATGGCATCACCCTTAGTGCTTTTACCTCACATAATCACTCATATAAAGGCAAGGAATGGTACATCGTGCGGCACGACATCACCCTTCGTGCTTTACACTCTGCCTCATAAAATCATACACGGCATCACCCTTCGTGCTTTAACACTCTCTCACCAAAACAATGCACGGCATCACCCTTCATGCTTTACACTCTTCCTCACCCAAACAACAAACACAAACAATAAGGGCAAGGAAATAAATGAATTATAATAAAATTCCGGAAAAGGGAACAACATCAAAACAACAACATCCCGGCAAGGAAACAATATTAAAAGCAACAACGTCCCGGCAAGGGAACAATACCATAATCCTCTTCTCGTTTTCACATTTACTTCACAACTCGATTCACAATTTGAGCTAATGCTCTATAAGGTTCAATTGCCAATTATTCTTTCACAATTCACTTCACAACTTGAGCCAATGCTCCTCAATGTTAAAATATTACCATTTCTTCCACAAACTTTGCCCAACAATAGAAATCATCACAAAAGGGCATAAACAATACAAACGGAGTCATAATAATCATAATATAAGACTTACGGGCATGCTTGACACCAACGTATACATACTCGTCACCATGCCTATACGTCGCACTTAACAAATAACACATAGCAAATAGGACACAACTCCTAATACCTCAAGCTAAGGTTAGACCAAACACTTACCTCGATGCCACGAACACAATTCAAGCCTCAACTATCGCTTTACCTCTTGATTCCACCACCAACTCGCTTGTTTCTAGCCACAAGTTAATTATATCAATAAATGCTAAATGAATCAATTCTAATGCATGGAAATAAGTTTTCTAAAGTTTTTCCCAAAAAGTCAAAAATCAACCCCGGGCCCACTTGGTCCAAACCCGAAATTCGAACCAAAATCCGATTACCCATTCAGCCCCGAGCCCGGATATATAATTGGTTTTGAAATCCGACCTCAATTTGAGGTCTAGATCCCCAAATTTCAATATTCTTAGTTTTTTCCCCAAAATTCCCAATTCCACCATGAAAACCATATATTCTAGGATGAAATCTTGTAAAAAGAAGCTAACGAGTAAAGAAAATGAGTTAGAAATCACTTACTAATGTTTTTGAGAAGAAAGGTTGTTTGAAAAATCGCCTCTTATGTTTTTGGAGTTTTGAAAAATCAAAAATAACTGAAAATCCCGTTTAAATATACCCCTCTCAGACCCCCTGTGCGGACCGCACAAAAAGGAGTGCGGTCGCGGAGCTCACAATGCTGACTGCAGTGACATACTTTAGTTTTTTGGCCATAACTTTCTCTACAGATGTCCAAATTGTGATTTCTTTACCTTTCTGGAAACTAGACACAAAGGGCTACAACTTTTGTTTTTGAATCATCTCAAAATTCCTTATAGATCAAAAGATAAAGGCTTCCGAAGTCGGACCAGTGAACCTGTGCGGACCGCACAAAATCGAGCGCGGCCGCAAAGCCCCCACCGCGGACAGCACTGGCGGGTTCAGAGATCTGCACTTCTCTGAACCTGCAACAGCTATGTTTTAAGCCTAGGACATCCTGGAACCTACTCGAAACTCACCCGAGCCCTCAGGACTTCAAACCAAATGTGCATACTAACTCAAAAACATCATATGGACCTACTCGTGCGATCACATCATCAAAATGACATGTAAAACCATGAATTAAACCTCAAAACTCAAATTCTCATAAAAAACACTCAAAGTTCATAACTCATCAACCGGAAGTCCAACTCACGTCAAATAGACTCCATTTTTCACCAAATTTCACAGTTATCATTCAAATACTATAACAAGTTTGTATCGGGCTCCGGAACCAAAATACGGGCCCGATACCAATGGTTTCAAACATTAATTCTTTTCTTCATTTCTTAGATAATTCAGCAAAACAATTTCTTTCAAAAATTAATTTCTAAGGCTTGGGACCTCGGAATTCATTTTCGGGCATACACCCAAGTCCCATATTTTACTGCGCACCTCCCGGGATCGTCGAAACACGGATCCGGGTCCGTTTGCTAAAAATGTTTACCAAAGTCAACCATAATCAAATTTTAACTCTAGAAATTTCTATTTCTCATATTTTCACATAGAAGGCTTTCCGGATATAGGTCCGGATCACGCACGCAAGTCGAGGTGAGGTAAAGAGGAGGTTTTTAGGCCTCAGAGCACTAAATTTATTTCTAAAACAAGTGATGACCTTCTGGGTCATCACAATATATATATATATATATTATAGTATATAATTATATATATATATATATATATATTATAAGTCGATGAATCAATTTACAAATGTATCAATCCCTAAAAGAACCCGACCCTGTATTCCTAGCGCTTCATGTTATATATATATATATATATATTATATATATATTATATATATATATTGTGTTGTGGTGTGTGGTTGTGTGTGTGTGTGTGTGTGTGTAAATTGATTCATCGACTTATAACCTACTCAGATGCATCGTTGAATATTTAAAACAAAACGTCTATATATATATATATATATATATATATATATATATATATATATATATATATAACACGCTTTGTTGTACTACTTTAACTACATATATGCATGTTAGAGTATATTTTAGTGTATTCATCCCTTGTAGTACAAAAGTGTTAACGGATTACATTTATATTATTTAGATAGTAAATATAAAGGTGATTTTTAATTTTGACCAATGTTGACCTGAAAAGAGACCAACTTTGATCGCTAATTAAAAAATAGCGACCAACGTTGGTCGCTAATTTTGAATAAGATTTATTTATATTTTATAAAATATTTTAAATAATAATATAATTATTCAACTTTATAACTGGGTCCCAAATTAGCGAACAAAGTTGGTCGCTACTTGCTTTCCCTTTCTTGACCGACCAACTTTGGTCGCCAATTTTAAATAATATTTAATTATATTTTATAAAATATTTTAAATAATAATATAATTACTACAACGTTATAACTGGGTCCCACATTAGCGATCAAAGTTGGTCGCTAATTTGAATATTTCTTTGACCAAGCAAGTCTGACCAGCCCTGTCAACATGTTGACCACTTTACCGATCAAAAAGCGACCAACGTTGGTCGGAAAATTATTTAAAATAATTATTTAATACTTTTCTCCACATTAGCGATCAACTTTGGTCGCTTTTTTTGACCGACCAACTTTGGTCACAAATATTTGGTCGATAATTCCTAGATTTCTAGTAGTAGACCTCACTCATCTAGTCATAGTTGTTGGCGGTAATAATTGACTTTTCCTTAATCCCCTGACCTAAATACTTTCATCATTAACACTTACTTCCTCTTGTAAGCTTTTTGCTAAAATTCTGGGTCATGTTGTGTCACGTTTGCATGAAAATCTATTACTGGTCCATAATAGAGGTACATACATATTAGATTGTGTAATTCAATCATATTTTCGTTAGAGCGAAATATTTGTAATTTACACTTTACTGGATAAAGTGCACAGCAAATTTGGATTAAGAGCTAAATTCAAGAAATAATGACACAAGTTGAGATTAAAATTTAAAATAAAGTACGACATGGATATACTGCTAGTTAATTGTCCAACTTCCTTTTGGGCTAATTGAGAAAGAATTTCACATATTTTTATCTAAGAAGCTTCAACCTCAAGTTCAAATTTATAGCATTATAGCTTAAATTTTTTGCTTGTGACGATTGAATCCAAAATTATTAGTCTTTGTTGATTATCAAAGCGTTCTATGACGAAAAAAATAAGTTTAAGTTTAAAATTGATCATGTTTAAACGAATCAAATTAAATCATTTCTTCAAAATTTTACTAAAAGGCTCGTGATGCATAATATAACACAAACACAAGTTATCAAAATTGAATCAATATTTCTAGAATTGTCATTAGTTCAGTTTTAAATAAATTTTAAAAAAAAAAAAGTGGATCATCTAGATGATTCACTTTCCATCATTTTTGTTAATTTTTTACCAGAACTTTATTTTTCCACTACCAAAAAGTGAAAAATGTTGATTCTTCGAAAAGAGAGGGAGAGAAAAGTTTCTTCCGTACAAAGTAATTAGTTATTCTTCAATGTAGCAAAAAATTTACTAAAGGCCTAAAAAATTTCAATTGATAGAGCACTATAGAGTACAGATATATTTGAGTGCATTTCAGTATTTAGCCCAAAAAAAAAAAAATATCATTAGTAATATTGTATTGGTCGAAATCTGACCCTGATGACTGGAGGCGGTAAGAGTTCGACCCCGTCATGGCCGTGCTCACGAGGCGTAATGGCGACGGGCCCCACGGTCCCTGTCGAGGTGAGGCAGTTAGAAAGCCTATATGGCAGGATATATAAGCGTACTGTATTGGGCAAGTAATAAAGGACTGCCGTGGGAAAGCACATCGGTCAAAGACTGTTGGATAAAATGGAATATTGTCAATATATAAAGGGGAATTGGGAACTGTGAAAGGGGGTCTGGCTATCACAAACAAGAGCAATATTACGAAACCGTGAGGGAAAGATTTCTCAGCTATCAACAGTTTCCCTTTCTTCTTTATGCTCTTTCGATTGTAATCCAAGCCTATCACAGATGTAAGCTTATCATTCCCACTTGATGTATGATAGCCATCTTATGAAATATTAAATCAGTTTGTTCCTCTCCAATTTTTATACTCAATATGTTGCGATCTAGAGTTAATTACCTTTGGCTAAAATTTATCCTCTATTTCATTCATTAATTAGTTTAGCAAGAAGTTTAATACTTTTTGGTCAAACAAATATAAGAGGTTCCATAAGAGGAGAAACCTTTATACAAGTCATTCTCGATTGGAAAATTATAAATAAAGAGCTACAATTTTTTTTTTTTAAAAAAAAATTATATATAACAATGAGGAAAAGTATAAATGAAGAGCTACAACTTTCAAAGAAATTTATGTGTAACATATGAAAGTGCAAAAACTGAAGGTGTTCGAATTGAGTAGAAATTGGATTTATAAGGCGTATTTGTTATGCAACTTATAATCGCTTGCAACGTATAGTCTAATACGACTTCTTATTCGACGCCCGACAAAAACTTTCTTCACTCTAATTTCTTCAAATAACTCACCTAAAATTAGATGCTCGCCGGTTTTGTTTAGCGTTTACATCAATTCCTGTATTCTCTGATGGGAGAAAACTGCTGCCTGCTGCCTGCTGCAGCCGTTGATACTTCCGGGTCGGAATCCGCTTTCGTTATTGGAAGGGCACAATTACAATGATGCTATGAATAAGTATGTTTTTTGATTGGTTCTCATTGTGGATCATAATAGATGTTTGTGTTTATCTATTTATTTATTTCTATGCTCGTTGTGCCATTGCGTTTAATATGAATTTAGAGAGTATAAGATGTAAATATGTTTTGCAGAAATTGATATCTTTGTTCTTAATACATCAATGCCTGGAAAAATATGCTGTTATTTTCATGCTCGTGCTCGTAATAGTTTTATTCTTTTTGAGACAGAGGGAGCACATTATTGTCTAAATATTTAAATTAACTTTGCGTTAGATACTTTCCTGCAATTTCTATTGGGAGTATGCTACTAGTTTCATTGTAAGCTTGTTAGCATCTGATTCAGTTTAATAAAAGTCTTTCTTTGAGTTCAAAAAGAAATAACTTTTTTCTACTCCAAATAGATTCTTCTATTTATATGATATCTTAATACTGCCTATTTTGATTCTCTAATGTAGATGTGTTATATTAGACCTTAATAAATTTCTATTAATTATATATTGAGAACTCAAGTAGAAAATCTTATGAGCCTGTTTAGTATATCTAGGCAAAGACGAGCTCGAGCTTTAGGCTTGTTAAACTTCTACTGGTCGAGTTTGAGCATGGTTTAGAGTTCATTTAGTATTTGACCCGAGCTTAACTTGTTTATTAACACAGTCTAGTTCGACAATCAAAACTTGACCTGGCTCGATTGAATTTACAACTCTAGTGTAACGCAAACAAAAATAAACATGAAATTCAATTTTTATACAATTAGGGATTGCCTTATGGATTCAGATTTACATGATTTAGAAGTTGGTGGTGTAGAGAATGTGCGAATGCTAAGATGTATCCTTTCATTAATTAATATTTAATCTTACTATTTGAGAGGATAATCAGAAATGGAGACTTGTGCATACCAAGGCTAACTAATTTTTATCAAGCTTTCTTGGGAAAATGGTTGTGGAGATCCACATGTGAGGAGAACATCTCTTTTGTAGGAGGTGATAAGCGTGAAGCATGGATGCAGTCAATATGGGTCGCTCTCAGAAAAGTCACATCATCATGCTGAATGAGTTAAGGAAAGAGAATATAAAGCAAAGAAAAAATAATCACAAGACTCCTAACTGAATAAGCAAGTTGGCGAAAGTCACGGGGAGGATGTGGATCATCTTCCACTCCATAACATTTCTCTTCAGAATTATGGGTCATGATGTTCTCCATTTTCAAAAGTTAATAGGTTGTTCCTAGAACAGTAATTCCATATGACTAGTGAAGATATGGTAGATACAGCTGGTAGTTTCAATGGATCCTTTTTACTTCCATAAATGGAGTGAACCAAGCCAACATATACGAGAATGAGGACTAAAAAGCAGTAAGCAATTTACCATTTTTTATGTCCTGCATTTTTGCTAGTTTCGGAACTTAACACCTATACTGATAAGCTTATAAGACAAGAAGCGCTCAACCAGTGTTAATTAAAGCAATGAAGTGATACAAGGCAAGGTTTTACCGCGTCGTTGTGAAGTCATGTGCTTTGAAGAACAGTGCGCTTCAAACAGTGATGCGCAAAGTAATCCGAACGATAAACAATCAATTCTTTGACTACCAAGTTTGAGGAGTGGGATTTGATATTGACATTATTGTACTGCTTTCACCCTGTTTTATTTTGAAGGGGTTTGGAGTACGAGAGTCAAAGCACCTAATTTTCAGTGTGGATTTCGGCATAAATATTTCAAGTTTTTTGAAATTAAATTTACAAATTTGAAAACTATGTGAGAAGGACCATATATCAGCATAGTTACTAATTCAAAGTATTACAACACAGTTTAAGAAAATCTCAGTCAAAGGAAAATTATTTGACTCCCCAAAATAATGTTAGTGTTACACAAAATGGGATAGAGGGAGTTTATTGGGTCCTGGGTACTGAAATTAGCTTTGATTATTATAATACTAAAATGATTATGTTTGGTATTTTTAAATTTTCATAAATTGCACGCTTTACCTCAGAGAAGTGTTTACATTATTTCACACTTTTCTTATTGAACTGTTATAAAACCTGATATGATGAACCTTTGAAGAATAAAGTTATCTGTATGCAAAGCCATGCTATAAAATCTTGCATGTTAAGCCTGTGTTAGAAACTTATCTTGTAAACTTGCCTAGAAATGCTATGGAGTTTAATCTTTTCCTCTTGTTATGACTCTTTGAGCCTTGGCATGAATGTGACAAAATTCCAACTATTTGTTCTCATCAACATTAAGATGCCAACCAGTTACATGATCTGCCTGTTTTGTTGATCAGTAGATAGGTTTCTACTGGCATGTTTATTTCTATGTTGGTGTTAACTGTTACTTGCTGTGCACTTTCACACGTTGATACGGAGTTTTTAAATGGATTTACAGCTAATATGTGTCCAGTGAATTTATTATGTGTAGAAGCGGCAAAACAGGTATATAATCGGTAAATGAGTATGCTAATTTGTAACTTGTACTCATTTTACTAGCCAGAGATTTAGGATCTATCAACCATTTTCCTATTTTTCCACCTCTAGATATTGGTAGAGTAGATTAACATATGAGAGACTAGAAAAAATGAATATTGTGCTTATGTGCTTTATAATTTCCATTCATGTGTCAGGTGGAATTTTGTTGATATATACGTTTATTACTCTAAGTTTCAGTATCATCCTTGAAAACTAACAGTTTTTAGTTTTATGGAAAGTTTCTATTGTCCCAAAAAGCATTTAATTACACATTTGTGCGTGTTAACATTTTTGGCTCCTTATTTATTTGTTTATTTAATCTCCATCCCATTTCTTCTTTTAGCCGTTCTCCAGGCTCAGGTGATAGGTATCTAGATTGAATGGAGGTCTAGAACATTGATAAAGTATTTGCATGTATGAACTTGACACGGGATTTGTTACAATTATGAAATACATTTGATCACTACCTCCTCACACCCCCACCCCACACCCTTCCAGTTCAATCAGTACCATTATCTCCTAATGTTTAGCTAGTAAATTGAACACTGTAGGTGTTTTACCTTTGGCTTTAGTTTTTGACTATGTTTTGGATGCAATGGTCATTTCCAGGAAATAGATTTTGGCTTTATTCTGCAGATCAGAACGTGTTTATGTATGCTTTAAAGCACGATCCTCGTGATCTTTGCATGGAACTCTCGTGAGGAGTGCTACTTGCCTTTTCATCTATTACAACTCCGCCACTTGCATCAGTATTCCTTCCAGATGCATGCACACTTCATTTTCACTGTCCTATATATTGTTCAGGTGCTGGATATGAACAGCACAACTTATTTCCAGTAATTCCACTGGCTTCCCTCTGTCCCTGAATAACGGTAGTCTAACCTTTCTCTTTTTCACCAGAGACTCGCTCCAAATTATCAGTGCCTTCATCAGATGAAATTTTTGTTTTGACATCTGCTATCAGCTTTCCTTTACTTGGGATATCTCTTGTACCAGTGCTTGTGAGTATTGTGAGGAAATTGAGTGCATTGATTGTCCACAAAGTTTCCTAATATATATTTGCTGATGAGGATTTATTTGGTGCATGTTTGTGTCTGTAATTGAAGTATCACCTTGCTTCTTTTCATGTTAAATGCAGCGAATGATTTTATTGGGAATAAGTTATTTACAGATGACAGACCGTAAAATTTAGCACCCTTACTTCTCTTTGTGTTAAATGCATCAAGTGATTTTATTGAAAAAGATCTGACGGTCTGTCATTTTCGAGTTATTTAAGGATGCTTGAAATGTGAATATCTAGATCTAGTTGTCCTGGTTAATTTCTAACTTAGCATTCTGCTGGAAATCAATGTTTTTCTTCTTCTCTAGATTCGTATAAAGATAGTTGTTAGTTGATTAACTGAAAAAATTACTTGTAGCGTCCTTAGTATAAGTTTTCTTTGGAGTAGGACTAGGATGTCTGACCCCCTAGGATGTCCTCGTGTTGCATCCACCGTGTTATCGAAGTATAAGTTTCCTCTCTGTTTGAGTGCCCTTAGTATAAGTTTTTTCTGACGGTTGTTGAATTAAAAATTCTTATTCTGCTCAAGTGCTTCCTTTAGACCAGCATAAATTATCATTGTCAATGAACTTGTATCCTTTATAAAGTCTTAGACGTGCTAGATTGTTCCTGCAGGTATATTGGTGGAGCGTCAGAAGATCAGGACGTTGTAGCAGAGAAAGATCTGGATCATTTTCTGCAACTTCAAGATGGTAAAGACACCTGGCTCCTAGAATTGCTTGACACATATTCTTAAGGGTTGCTGCCATTTGGATATATCTTCAGTACCTTTTTACCAAATTAAAAAGGGAAAGTCTTTTAAATTCACTTGTTTTGAGTTTGATTTTATGATATCTGCCTTCTTTCTCTGAGGAAACATTTGCTGTTTCATTGTTTCCAGACGATCATTTGAGAGTTGCAATTTGACATGAAAAAGCTTGTTTTTGTGTTCTTGAACTTGGGATATGTGTGTTTAAATTACTGTTTTATTTTAATATTTTTGGAAGGGAAAGATCATGACGAGCTCTGTGGTAGGTGCAACACGTTTGGTACTTTACGTATCCACATTTCAATTTTAAATGTTATACTTATGTCAGCTCTACAATTTTCCATGACCGAGATACCAAGTTTATAATGAATTTTGTGGTACAAAGTTGTGTTGATTGTTATCAAATTGAATGTTTTTATCTCTATTTGGAAAACCATATTCATCGTTTTTGCTCTATATTTTGGTTTTTAGTTTTTTCTATCAAGAAAAGCTTATCTCTACCCTAGAATTAGTTAATTTTCTTCTTATCTTCCGGAGTCTCTTGGTATACAAAGTGAACTATGTCTTTGTTCCAAAGATGTCTGATAAACTGCGCTTTCATCTTGTGTCTTAAGATTTTCAGACCTTCATGGACTTTAGGACTTATGAAGCTGCTGCTTATATTGTTTGCATGAGTTCCCTGAAGTCAACTCGATTGTTCTACCTACTCATTTTGATACCGAAAACTGCTCCTTGTCTTGTTCACTTATTTTATTCTATCGTCATTATGTATAACTTTTAGAAACTATGTAGTCCCACATCATGTGTCATCATTTATGTTTTCGGGAAACTATGTAGTCATCTATCTTGTGTACATCTGTAACATGAAATCTATTGCAGGGTGCACCCTCTCGAGCTTTTCAAAGGCGAGACAAACCTAGGTGTGTAGACCTGTACTTTACAAGTTGGGTTGTTAAGCCTGGTAAGTGGTGCCATTTCTAGTGGATGTACAAAACGATAAATCAACTTTGCCAATTGTCTAGGACACCATAGCTTAAGATCTACTTAAAGTGTGCACTTGTAAGGAATCAAAGAAAGGGGATGGACACCTATCTGCATGTGAGATCACACTAGTTCAGTATGAAGATTTGGGCATGTTAGGAGTTCGTCAGGGGCTCTGTGGTACTGTCAAGAAGTTGCACAATGGCCTCCGAGCATATCAGAACGCGAGGAAGTCAGAGGCAGCGGTTTCCAGGTGTGCAATGATGGCAAGAATCACTGCAAAAATATCATCTGATGTAGGTACTGGTACTTTGGAGCGAGTCTCTGGTGAAGAAGAGAAACGTGAGACTAACGATATCCAGGGTCAGAGAGGAGGTGGTGGCATCAAGTGGAAATACGGGAAGTATTCCTACGCTGTTGATTTGAGCTTTGACCACGTTCCATTTCTTAAGTGTTCCTTCTTTGGGTTAGCTTCCGAGGGAACAAGTTTTCTGTTTCACTAACTCCACGGGGATTAATTTCATCACAGTTTCAAATGGACAAACAATTATTTTACACGGAGAGTGTTTTTGTTGTTGTTAGTAGTGTGAATTTCGTGTTCTCAATTTGGATAGTTATGGTTTCTAACTTATGTATTAGATCATTTTGACAAGCAGCACAGAGATCAAATTGTTCACTTCTCTTGACTAGAACATTTCCATGTGTAGACTGCATCTTATGTTCATATCAACATTTTGATATGAAAATCTAAAGTTGGGTTGACTAAAATTGTCTTGAATCAATGTTGTAGTACATTTTGGTGATGATGTTATATGCAAAAATACCAACCCTTCACTAATGCTAGGAAATGGTACTGTATCAGAGGTGAATATAAGATTTTAAATCAGTGAATATGAAATAATAGTCCATTCGCTATTTCTTTATGACCATAAAAATGGAATAATAGGTATAACAATTATTTTTCTAGAAAATATAGTTCGATTCTAAAAAAGTGTATGTGCCCTGTATTCACTACTACATTAGCCTTAGAGAAGGTACTGTTTGACCAAAAAGTGTCGAGCTTCTTGTTAAACTAATTAATAAGAAAAAGAGGATAAATCCTAGCCAAGGATAATTAACTCTAGATCGAAACGCATTGAACCGGAGAATAAGATAAGGTCAAGCATACGAATTTTTTATACTTATAAAAAATATCAAATATAAATGACATGCTTACATTCATGGTGTATTGTTCTATAATGCAAGAATAAAGGTGGAAAAGAGGAAAATGTCATTAATAGTTGCTGGATCTATCTTTATTAACTCAAGAAAGATGATTATAAAGGTTTGCCGCCTAGATCTGCAACTTCTCTTTCTTGTTTTTCTCCGGTAGCTTTCTCCGGTTCTTCTGTCTCCTTTTTTTTGTCAGAACCAAATCCCCCTTTTCTTGTCCTCTTTTCCCTATTTATATAGCAATTATTCTCTTTTATCCAACAGTTCTTAGCCAGAGGGCCTTAGTCTGTTCATTGTGCATTGGGTCGTTCCCCTTAAATATCACGACATATACCTCGCCGCACGAGCTTTAAGATAGTTCTATCCCGGCAGCGGCCGAGATACTCGTTGTTATGACATCTTATGAATACGACCATGGCTCAGTCGACCCCTCGCTATTTCTTTTAACGCTGATCCACGCGTGGTCAGATTTCGACCCATACAGGTACTAGGATGATTCAACCCTTTTTACTGCGAAATAAAAAATTATGATGGGGAACGCTTCCCTTTTTAATAGATCTTACGCTCCACAAATTCTAATTAAGGTGGAGGTAATGCGACGAAAAAGGGTTGGAAATCAGAAAGAAAAAAAAAACTACATTTTACTGCATCCAAAGATAGCATGAGAGGATAGTATGGCTATTCAAGCTGTCACAATACCCAAACAAGGGGTCTTTATGACGAAATGACTTACTCTCTAATATTTGGACCCTTTCTATGCAAATTCATGGCTCAACTCTCCTCTTGTCTCTATGGATAAAAGCTTGAAATGGACCACCTAATATCAAAACAGAGAAAAAGAAAAAAATATTGCTTCTTCCTTCAACGATAAAATAAAATATACTTACATTTATTTGAAAAAGAATAACGGAATGTTTGGCCTAATGGTTAATGACGTGGATATAGAATCACGAAGTCTCAGGTTCAATAAAGCAAAACATTAGGTAATTTTCTTTATATCTATCCAAACTTTGTGGACAATGTTATCTGATATCTATACTCATGGGAATTAAGTAATGATGAATGTGAAGATTAAAATATCCAATTCTCAAAGCAAACTTGGCATTGACAATATAATAAATCATAATTTATTAAGAATACTAAAATTATTTGGGAGATATCATAATCGAAGAAAGAATTATCTGATTCTCTAAATAGTAATAGTGTCATATAAAAAAGACCCTAAGAACATGAAGAATAAAATGGATATAGACACACATATATACACTATACCTTCTTTTTCTTTTGTGTTTTAAGCATTCAGTATCCGAAACTCACTAATCCGACTAATTTGAATTTAACCAGTTAGGATTTGCTAATTGGAAAAACACTTCCTATCAGGAGTTTCTCTATTCCTATAGCTCAACCCCAAGTCTTCCTGTTAAAATTGGAGTATCGCATTGATTCCACCGTACTACTTGGTGCATTGGTGACATGCATACACTATGAATAAAAAGCAATCTGGTGCATAAAGCATTTTACGTTTACATAAGGTCCGCGTTTATGCATACACAATGAATATGTGAGTAAATATAATACTAGGATAGGAAGTGCCAAAACTCAAGATAGTGGTTTGATATTAGTGAAATTATCCTTATTGGGCCAGAAGCCTTAAATAACCATGGATTTATTTGTTTAAATATAGACCCCACTTTTGGTCCCATAATTTTGGATTAACATTGACCACTTGAGGTGTAGCTTTCAATTGTGTCAAATTGCTATCAATTCTTTCCTTTATTGCTAAAGGTCCCCTCTTTAGTTGCCTAAATTTGACTTCTTACCACAAAAACAATCATAGGGATTTTTCTTGTCATTTTAAAGAGTAACATTTAGGCCTACTTGTAATTTTCCTACTTGTTTTAAGTCATTTAAACCTTATCAATCAACTCTTTTATGAAAATGAAATGGATACGATGTTCACATGCTATGCAACTTTACACCTTTCATTTTTTATATATAACAAGATCTTAAGCTTTTGCTAAAAAGTTCAAAAACCAAAAATAATGATTATACTAAAGAATAGAGTGAATTTTCGAAATTTTATTGGAAATAATTAAACGATCCAAATGTAAGTTACAATTATTGACTCGGGCGTCTTCAAGAATGTTTACTCAAAAAATTTCAAATAAATAATTGCTCTCCAAAATTCTATTTCGACACTGATTTTTTTTTAAAAAAAAAAAATTAAGCGAGAACAAAAGAATTAACTTGTGAAAATCGAGTTTTAAGCAAAAATTATCCTCTCCTCAAACTCTAACTATAGACCATTTTCAATTAGAACAATTTAATATTGTGACATTTATAAGATTACTTTTATGGGAACAATATTTCTTGAGAAAACTAATTTGAACCAAAATTAGATATTTTTTTTTGTGTGAGTGTTTCATTTGATCAAAGTTCATATTAAGGACATGATCCTTGATAGAAAGGTGTGAAGGTCGAGCATTAGGGTTGTAGGTTAGGAGGTAATTGTGCATTTTCCTACTTCATATCGGGTGAGGCTATAGTGTTTTGTCTTAAACTGTTAGTGGTTAGTGTTTGTGTTCACGCTATTCTTCCGTTTTTCATAGTACCGGGCCGTATTTACTGGTTATTGTTATTGCTCCTATTTTCTGATTCTTTCGATACTGTTATTATTTTTCTGGCTTCTATTGCTGGTACTGATATACCGTCTCTTTTCGTCTTCTTGAGCCGAGTGACTATCGAAAATAGCCTCTCTATTCCCTAGGGACAAGGGTAGGTTTGCGTATATACTATCTGTTGTCGCTACTGTGTTAAAACAAAAAATTAGAAAGACTGTTAGAAGAAAATTGGAAAAACAGTAAACTATAAAAAATATTCCGAGTCCACAATTTTCTTGTGCGTCCTTAAGGAATTTTAACCCCCTCACACGTTGCCAAGGTAATGGATTAAATCCTCCTAGGATGAAACGGAATAAACCTTCCTGCAATAGTGGCAATATGTGACGACCCGACCCGTCGTCTCATGTATTACTGCCCCGTTTTCCCCATGTTACGCTTCTTCATGTTTAATTATTGGCATTTGGTGTGTTAGAGTTGAATTGGATTGGTTTTGGTAAGTAATGAGACACTTAGTCTCTTTAAGGAAGACTTGTCTTGGAAAAGTCAACCGGATGTTGACTATTGAGTTAGAGGGCTCGGACAGGACTTCCGGTGATTTGTTTAGCTTCGGGAGGTGATTTGTGACTTAGGAGTGTGATCGGAAGTGATTTTGGAGGTCCGGTGTAGAATTAGGCTTGAATTGGCGAAGTTAGTATTTTGGTGAATTCCGGTTGATAGGTGAGATTTTGATCCGAGGGTCGGAATGGAATTTCGAGAGTTGTTGTAGCTTCGTTAGTTGATTTTGGATGTGTGTGCAAAATTTCAGGTCATTCGGAGGTGTTTTGGTCGGGTTTTTGATCAAATGCGTATTTCGGAAGTTTTTAAGAAACTTAGGCTTGAATCCGATGTGATTTAATGATTTTAGCGTTGTTTGATGTGTTTTGATGATTGGAACAAGTTTGAATGATGTTTTAGGATGTGTTGGTGCTTTTGGTTGAGGTCCCGGGGGCCTCGGGGTAATTTCGGATGGCTAACGGGATGAAATTTGGAGTTGAGGAATTGCAGGCCTTAGCTGATACCTGATATTTTCGCTTCTGCGGAAGTGGACCGCAGAAGCGGTTCCGCAGAAGCGTATGGAGGGTCGCAAAAGCGGTCCATGGCTTAGTAGGGTAGTTCCGCAGAAGCGAAACCCTTTTCGCACAAGCGAGCCCGCAGAAGCGATTTTGGACTAGAGATGAAGTTTCGCAGAAGCGGCCTTGGATTTTTAAATGAAATTCCGCAGAAGCGGGAAATAACCGCAGAAGAGGTATCGCAAAAGCGGGGATGGGGACCGCAGAAGCGAAAACCCCTGGTGCCAGAAGGGTTTTTATATTCATTTTTGTTCCGCGAAGCTTATGTTATTTCCACCATTTTTAAGCGAGCTTGAGAGCTATTGGACGGAATTGAAGGGGGATTTCGACTATTTGTGATTGGAGGTAAGTTCCTTGGCCTAAATACATGAAATTATGATAGATTTAACATGGAAATTGGTTGAAATTCATCAAAGGGGAGCAAAGCTAGGGCTTGGAGACTTGGTGATTTAAAAATGGAATTTGAAGGGTCAAATGGACTCCGATTTTGGTAAATCCGATATGTATGGACTCGTGGCGAGATGAGGAATCCGGTGATGTGAATTTTGTAATTTTTTGAGAAGTGGGCCCGGGGCTCGGGTTTTGCCAACTTCGTGATTTTCGATGTTTTTCGAGTCTTTTCGATTGGGTTATGTTTCCTTAGCCTATTGTAATGTATTCCTTGTGGTTTTGATCAGATTCGATGCGCGAGGAGGTCGATTCGAGGGGAAAAGGCATAGCGAGCTAGACTTGTGGACGGCTTGAGGTGAGTAATAGATGTAAATGATGATCTGAGGGTTTGAAACCCCGGAATTTCACATCGTAACGCTATATTGAGGCGAGACACGCGCTCTATG